ATAGTCTAATTCAGTAACTTTGAGTAAGTTTTAACTGCTTATGTGCTTCATGCTCTCTATCATCCTGGGATGAGGTTAATAATAGTACTTCCCTCACAAGATTATAGGGAGGATTAAAAGAAGGAATTTACAGAAATTAGGACAATACCTGACAAATAGCACATTATATTACACATATTTTCATCATCTCTGAAGTTGATCAGATTTTCTAGATTTCATTATAACAAAATGTCAGTGTGTGGGCAGTTCTGCTAAGGGTTTTGTTCTAATAAGACAGTTGATATTACTCATCCATGGATGAGCATTATGGCAGAGCTTATTGTTTGGAGCTATAAAACAACTAGTACAGTACCACTAGCATTCTAAATTGGGTCTAAAATTCCAACTTAGAAAGGTTATGGTGACAAAACTTGTTAATTAACCAAGTTCCTCTCCCCATACCATTTGCTTTACGCATTTTTTTTCTAAGAGAGATTGTAGCAATTTATAAACCCAACTGCCATGTGGATTTTACTTTGTGTAACAAACAGTTCTTTAGAATTATGGGCCAACTACTCTTCTATGGACCAGATTTATAATAATGACCCACTTAATCCTCATATGAGCCATAAGAGGTAGATAATAGTAGTACCTACCTTGGATATAGAATTCTAACTGGGCAGATTTTCATTGTCAGCATTTTAAAGATATCATTCCATTATCTACTGATTTTCACTGTTTCTGAGAAGAAGTTAGTCATCATTCTTACTGTGGTATTCCTGAATGTAATCTTTCCCCCACTCCAGTTGCTGTTAAGATTTTTCTCCTTATCTTTATTTTACAGAAATTTCCTAGGTGTTATATTCTTTGTGCTCATCCTTCTTGGGGATCTGGAAACAGGTGAGGGCTGGACACAAATCTATATATGGAATAGAATATAAATGAATAACTTTGCCAAATGATAGTGGAAGAAGACCTAAGAGCAGGGGGTTAAATATAGCATCCTGAGTAACCTTACATATTAAAAAAAGTGAAAAATGGTCAGAGAAAGAGCAGCTAGAATAGAATCCAAAGGTGGAGGTCACAAATCACAAAATTGAACTACCAAGGATATAGTGACCAGTGGGAAATGGATGAAGCAGGTAAGCAAGAATAAAGACTGGAAATGGAGCTTTAGACCTAGCAATTTTTTTTTTCTCTCAAGAGAACACATTTGTTTTGTTTTTAGAGCAGAGGCAGAAGTGGAATCCAGATTTTTAAGAATTTGCCTTATATTATTTCAGGTTCAGATTCATATACTTTTATTGGTTGTATCTTGATGAGCATGTATTTATTCTCAATAAATAGAATAAAAGATTTCTAAACATGCTTTGGGAATTTCTAATTACTATACTTTTAAAAGTGACTAACTGAAATGTCATTAATGGAAGCAGAGAATATGTCAACCACAGATTGTAGTTAAAATCTATTTTCTACTCAGATCAAATAAAGTCCTATTGACAGATCCACCAGGTTTCTGTTGGGCACCTTCCCAACAAACAGAAGGATGGTTCTGGGAAGCACTGCAGACACATACGTCTTTGACAGGCACCTTCCCTTCCTGAGTATTGTTATACGTCTAAGGCTTCCTCCAATATCATTCAGCCTTTTTATTTTTTCTTGATTTCTCAAGACATATGAAGACCAGTCCTATTCTCTATAATTTTCTATTATCCCTAGTAAAAGTTATCATTGTTCATTACTGCATTTCTTATAACCAAGTGTGTGTGTGTGTGTGTGGGGGGGGGGGTCTGAAAACCAATATCTGACAATAAGAGAATAAAGAAATTAGTTTAGTCATGGAGTTAAACACAATGAGGTTATTTTAAAAAATGGCTGGGCATAATTAATAATATGGAAAAGTATCACTATATTAAGTGAAAAAGTATGTCTGACCTATATTCTGGTTCATAGAATAGGAAGATTCTTACAGAAATAATAAAATATTTGAAATTGGATTTGCCTGAAAATAACATATGGCCCTAAGCACCATGTTAAATAGTTTGGGGCAAGGAGTCCCACAGTTATTATTATTTCCAAAATAATACAACCAGGTAAGCATGTGCTGTAGTTATGGGCTACCTTACGGCTGTATGTGAGTCACTTTTCAATTATATGTCCTTTGAGTGATTTTCAGAGAATGTCATATCTCAACACAAAGTTTGGATTTTTCATTAGAAGATTAAAAAAATCATTCTGACATCTTTCTTACACCAGTAAAGTTCAGTAGCTCTTCTAACAAAGAAACAATGGAAATCCATGAAACAGTGTTCCTTATCATTATATGAGCTGTACTCTTAGTTGATTAATGTGGTTTCCATACATGCCACTAAATCAAAACTTCTGGACCATCTGTTTCTATATTTTGCTTTAGAATTTTTGATTGGCATTGAAACGGAAAACTGAATATTTACTCATGTTTTGTTTAAAAAGAGAAAAACTAACACAAAACATTTCCTCATTAAAATGACTCAAGTTAAATTAATTTGACAATAAGTCAACCAAGAGACCCAAAGCATGTCAAATAGAGATTCCAAGCTATTCAAAGTATTTCTTGTGACAACTACTTTTTTACAAAAGAATCTGAAACATTGATTTTTCTTGGTATACTGAGTATTCATGTTTCCATCAAGACGCTGTCTAAGTGAGTTTTCCTCTAATTCACATAGTGCATATATATATATATATATCCCACCAGTCCTTTAATATCCCTGTGAGTCAAGGAGAAACATTTTCTTCATTTGATATACAGAAAATCTAGCGCAAGAGATCAACTCAATTATTTTAGAAGAATGAATAATTCATTGGGAAAAATATGTGGTAGGATAGTTAACTGGCTAGAAGAATAAACACTATTCTCTGGCTGAGTTTAACAAAAGAAGTAAAAATAAGTAATGTTCTCTCATTGGAATTAAAACAACAACACCCTGCAAATTCAGGGAGGATACATGGTTTACTATTAGTATGTATATTCATTCATTCATTCATTCATTCATTCATCATCTGTCAGCTCCTATTATGTGCCAGGCTACTTCTGGTACTTGATGATCAAGCCAGAGCTTACCATGCAACTTATTTAATAGGAAAACAAAGGCATTTCAGTGCAGTATTATGGATCACCATGATGTCCCCCCAAAGCTAATGTAATCTTAGGATGCATTTATTGAAGGGTAGTATCTAGAATAATAGTATATTTAATTCTATCCTAGTCTGCACTATTGTGACCATAACCACTCTAAAGTAGATATAATAAACTGATTTCTATGTTCCACTCTAAAATAGATACAATACACCAAAACACATATAATGGAGCTGGCCATGGAGGTTAAAAAACTAAAACTTATGTCATATGAGTAATCGTTGAAAGAACTCAAGAGCTAGTTTAGAGAACAAATAACTTAGGTCATGACAGCTCTCAAACACTGAAAGGACTAACTCGTTAAAAGGGAATTAAATGTGTGCTTTCTAACTTTAAGAAATGGAACTGTAATAAATGGGTGAAAGATAGAAATAGATATAGTTCAGTTTAATATAATAAATCATATTTTGATCATTAGAGCTGATAGAGTGTACTGCCTGAGGAGTTAGCAGATGTATATCCAAGCAGAGTCTGAAAAACCACTTTGCTGGTACACTGCTGAAGATACTCAAATATCCAACGGATGGCTGAGCTAGATGACCTTTTTATTCCTTCAGAACATGAAAGTCAATTCATCTACGACGCAAGTTAGAGAGATACAGGACAACACTGAATTTCTTTATCTTTTCAAAAGTGTTTGATTCTATCAAAAGATTTACTTTCTGAATGACTTTGATCAACAGGGATGTTCAGGGCAAGATCTTAGGTTTACTTTGTGTTATAATCCATTTTATATTGTCTTGTTGCCCTCATTGCTCTAGGACTCACTGTTTCAGTTTCCTGGGCTGCTGTAACACAGTACTCCAGAATCAGAACAATGGAAACTGAGCATCTCACAGTGCTGGAGGCAAAATGAAGGTGCTGGCAAAGCCATGCCTCCCCTGGGCCAGGCTTCTGGTAATTCCCTGACTTGTGACAGCAGAGTCCCCATCTTCACATGATGTTCTCCCTGTGTGTGTGTGTCTCTGTGTTCAAATTTCTTTTTTTACAAGGACACCAGTTACTTTGGATTAGGGGCTCACTTACTTCAATATGACTTCATCTTGACCAATGACCCTATTTCCAAATAGTCACACTCTAGGCCATTGGATGTTAGGATTTCAACATACACATTTTGGGAGGACAGAAACCAGTGGCAAAGAGGCAGGCCTACACAATTCATTTCTACCCAGCCAGCCTAGCAAAACTAACTTCCAGTGTTCTACTGCGAGGTCTGGAATCTCGCAGAGTCAGAGGGAGTAAAATCACTGCTCCCACCATGGATTCAATGAGGCCTTCCTAAACTATTAAAAGGTATTGATCCCAAAGGAATGCACCCCTTTCTGAACTGTATAAGCTCGACCTGGAGCCCACGCTGGCCTAATGCCAACATAAATACATTGATGATCAACCTAACCCACTTCATGTACTGGAAAAAAGAAAAAGATAGAGAGAAGACTTTATAGGATTACACTTGTAAAGTCAAAAGCATTTCTAAAGACGAAAATGATATCAGAGGGAAAATTATTGTTATTCATTAAATTATGTGATCTCTACTGTTTCTTTTTACTTTTTTAATCAACAGTAGTTTATTTATATAATAACTTCAATACAGCTGTTCGAAAAGATTTTGTTTTAATTTTATAAGCAATGGGAAACCACTTAAGATGTATAAATGAAGAAAAACTATTGAAAAAATTGCCAGTAAAGAATTATTCAGATTAAAATATAAAACTAGACAATGTCCTCGAGCATCTCCAGGAAGGCCTGCGGGGATGGCGCCTCCACATTCGGGAAGGTGTCGTGGACTCTGCCGTACCAGAAGAAGTATTTCTCCTCCAGCCAGATGAACCCGAAGTGGTCTTCATCGAACAGGATGAAGACTCCAGGGCAGCAGTGCCTGGGGTCGGAGAAGTGATCAATGTCCACGCCATAGAAACACATCCTGCAGGTTCGGGGGTAGTTCTGGTCACTTGTGCGCACGTCTGCAGGCAGAACAAACGGGACAGGCTGCTCCTCCGAAGCTGCAGCCCCGGACTCCCCGACGCTGGGCTGGGCAGGGCTCGGCCAGCCATGGCCTTCGCTTTCCTCAGGCCCGTCTTCTTGCTGCTGCTGCTGCTCCCAGGTCACCTGGTCGTCAATCTCCTGGACCACGAAGTAGAGCTCGATGAAGTTGCGGAAGATCTCGCCACCTCGCAGCGGGATGCGGCGCGTGAGGTGGACCTCTAACGCCTTCGTGCCTGTCCCCATGAGCCTCGTGACCCTGGCATACTGCCCGTGGAAGCTGAGCATGGCGGTCGTTGGGCCGAAGGTGTATTTGCGGTGGAAGAGGCCTGGCCTGATGGGGTCGTCCGGGTGCCGTGGCGGGAGGTAGAGGCGGCGGTAGGTCAGGTAGTCATACTGCTGTCTGTCCTCCTGCGCCCGCCCCCGTTCTCCCCTAAGCCGCGTGGGTGAATCCGTTCGGTGGTCTGTCCTCCTGCACTGGATGGTGAGCCCGTCCTCCTGAATCTGCAGGTGGCCGTGGTGGGGCCTGCCGAGGCGGCCTGCCATGCACTCCACCGCGGCCGGTTCCCTCTCCGTCAGGCGAATTCTGAACACGGGCTCGAAATGTATTAGGTCCCGCAGATGGGGGTTAGAGGAAGACCTGTACGTCCCGCCAGTAATGCCTGAGCCGTCCACCACCACATTCAGCAGTGTTCTACAGCTAGCATTTAGCCGCCACAAGCCCAAAATGTGTCTGTACGGGAACAGCTTCGCATAGACTTCTCGGTAAGACATACCCATCATCTCCGGGTTCTGCAAGGTTTCACGAACGCCGAACTCCTCGCGGCAGCGCCGATGCTGTCGGTGTGCAGGACGTGGTGGAATCTGGTGCAGGTCTGGGCCAGGCTGCGCAGATCGGTGCCGGGGAGCGAGGCGAAGATCTCCACCAGCATCTCCACCGGCAGGTCCTGCAGCGAGCAGTGCAGAGGCGGCATGGGGCTCGTGATTCCTCCACCCCCATAACAAAAAAAAGAAATGCCCAGAGGACGAGGCCCGGAAATCGGGATTTTAAAAAGATTCCCAGGCGATTCTGATGTGCGGCCAACGTTGAGAACCACTGCACTAGATCATTCTTTTTTTTTCTTTCTTTCTTTCTTATGTATGCATACAAGTCCTCTGGTTGATCTCTTACCCCCTTCCCTCCTGCCCCCCCACACTATAATTTTAGCTGCTCAACTCCTAAACTGATCATTACAAAGATTTACATAAAAGGCACATTTAAGACAGTCAAATTGTTTCTAATAAGGCATAATTGCGTAAAAGTGTTTCAAAATTGGCGTTATTGCTTGTCACAATTAGCAGACATTAATGGCTAAAGCAGTGATGGAGAACCTATGACACGTGTGTCAGAGGTGACACACGAACTCATTTTTTTGGTTGATTTTTCTTTGTTAAATGGCATTTAAGTGTATAAAATAAATATCAAAAATATAAGGCTTTGTTTTACTATGGTTGCAAATGTCAAAAAATTTCTATATGTGACATGGCACCAGAGTTAAGTTAGGGTTTTTCAAAATGCTGACACGCCGAGCTCAAAAGGTTCGCCATCACTGGGCTAAAGTGTCTTATTAACTTGCCTTCTGAACCTAAAAGATGTGATCATAGAACTGATGAAAAATGAAATATTCTTTGAATTGGGTAGTGGAGATGGGTGGGGAATAGGGTGGCAAGGAATCTTTAAATTTAAAAAAAAAAATCCTAAGGCGCGAGAAGACGAAAGAAGGGCCATGTGAAGATTGAAGGGATTCGGCCAGGAGTCCCCAGAGGCAGGAAGGACCTTCCCCTGGAGCCCTCCCAGGGAGCACAGCCCCAGACACCCTGATTTCAGATTCTGGCCCCAGAACGGGGAGAGCACATGTTCCTGTTTGTTTAGGCCAGTCTGTAGTCATCGGAGCAGCAGCCCCAGGAAATAGACCCCTCCTTGACCCTCCTTTTGGGGCTTTGATCCAGTTCTGGGAACAGCTATGCCCTGTGCCCCAGCAAAGGAGACCCCCTAGACCTCTCACTGCAGGAGCTCACAGGGAGATTCATCCCTGTGTCTGTGCCTAGGCCTTGTCTCCCACTCCCCTGGGGGCTCCTGAGCAGTGACAGAGCAGTGGGCACCAGGGCAGGCTGCTTGGTGGGAAGTGCAGGCCACGTGACTCCTCACAGCCTTGCCGAGCCCCCAGCTGCAGGATGATGCAGGGTACTCCCCAGCCCCACCCTTACCTCCCAGGCTTCCCCCCTAATGAGTCCAGCCTGGCCCTCCGCTTCCTGGAGCACTTGGGTTGACAGGAGCCAGCCACTGGGTTGTCGTGCCCATAATCCTAGATGCCAAAACTGAGGCTCAGAGACGGGGAGCAGAAGTCTCTACCCCCAGCCCACCTCCCCCTTAACTCAGCCCAGCTCACAGGCGGCTCCCCCAGCTGCCATGGTGTTGGAGGAGGAGGCAGAGGAAGAGGAGGAGGAGATTTCTGAGAAGCAATCCAAAAATACACACCAGCTAGCCCCTTCTTCCTCACTCCTCTCCAGCTTCAAAGCCTCCCTTTGTGCAGGGAGGCGAGGCCTCTTCCTGGCCAGGCAGCCAGGAGCAAAGGTCAAGGAGTCAGAGGGTCCAGGTAGTAGGTTCTGGGACCCCACCTTACCCAGCAGATTTCCTGGACCTGGGCTCCATCGCCCTCCCACAGTTCGCAGACCAGGCGGGCTCTTTCCTGCCTCCCTGCCTTCACACATGCACGTTCCTCCACCTTGAATGCCCTTCCTCATCCTTCAAATCCCGGCTCAGCTTTCACTCCACTGGAGAACCAACCCTCCCTGAGTCACTTGGGGCTTCCCCTGCATCCTGCACCCACCCCAGTCACAGCTGTTTTCTGGATGATGCTCTCACAGGGCGGTGAGGTCTTGGGGATGCTTTGCCTTTGTACCCCAACACCTGGCACAGTCAGGTGCTCAGTAAATCCAGAAGGAAGGGAAGGAGGGAGGGAGGAAAGGGAGCAAAGAAAACACCTCTCCTAGGATTGGAGAGGATCTGGACCCTGAGCACCTGGCACAGGGCTGGGCACGCAGCAAAGCCCACTCCTTCCTGCCGCCCCCACTTGGGCCTCATCTGATTTGGAGCCGGCTCAGGGTCGGCTCCATACCCACAGCCTGTGTCTGTTGCCCATCTGGATGCAAGGGAATTACACCGGGAGGCAGACGTGCACTTGACTTCATAAGGAGCTACAGTGCTAGGGAGAAAGGCCTCCATTCTCAGAAATCCCGCTTGTGCAAACTTGCAAAGGCCTGAGGGCTGACCTTGAGCAGGGGTTTTCAAGCAGTTTTCACACTGAATACTTTCTGCAAACAAAGCCTTACCTGATGGCCATTCTATAAAACAGATGGAAACTAAGCTGCTTGGGGCAAAGTGCTGCGTGTTGAAGGCACCTGGGAGAGGGGACCAGAGCCCCCTTTCCCCTGTAGCTCTGGGTCCCGGAGAGATGGGGGTTGGGGTTGGTCCTGGTGGTGGGATGGGGCAGCCAGGAGAGAGGGAGAGCCCTGGGGAGAGTCCAGTGGCTGATATTTCCTAACTGGTACAGAATGGCCTCAATATTTTCAGAACTGCGTGTTCATGTCAGTGTGGCTGGGCCAACGAACTCATCTTTCACAGTAAGAAGTCAGTCTATACAAACAAAAATGAAAATATGTCCTTGGAAAAAATCATAATGACTTCAACCTTTTAAAAAAATGCTAAAAGCACTTTTTTTCTTTTTTAGTTAATCCTCACCTGAGGATATTTTTCCATTGATTTTTAGGGAGAGTAGAAGAGAGCGGGAAAGTCAGAGAGAAATATCAATGTGAAAGAAACACATCGATTGATTGCCTCCTGCACAAGCCCTGACCAGGGCCTGGGCCAGGGAGGAGCCTGCAACCAAGGTATGTGCCCTTAGCCCAGAATCGAACCCCAGACTTTTTGGTCCACAGGCTGACACTCTATCCACTGAGCCAAACAGGCTAGGGCCTAAAATCACTTTTTAAACTTTATGCACTTAAGTATGCAAAACATGCACATTTTATCATATCCAAAGGCATCACAATTATGTGTCCCTGAGCCACTCAATTTCTCTCTTATCTCTGTCTTGCAGACCTTCCAGATAAATTTTATTCTACAATATTATTTTTTAAAGTCTTATTTTTGGTTACAAAGCCAATGTTTACTTTGAAAAATGGAAAATTGGTTTTTGGCGTTAGATGTATTTGAAAATGTCTAACCAAAGAACATTATAGCATTGCTATACTCCAATCCTAAAAGACTTTTTGAACTGTGCTCTGGTATATTACTGTGTACAGGTAAGGCCATAACTATAACTGTAACTGTTCAGACACCTTTTTAATCAAATATACTATGTCCTTTTTAACCAAATTTCCTTACTTAATGTTTAATCTTGAATATATGATACTATCTCAATTTTCTAAGGATCTCCAAAAGTGTGTATTGAGCAGCCATTTATAAATAGATCTATAAATGGTCAAGTAAAAATAATTTTAAAATAATTCATCAACATTTAATGACTTCCATATTGTAAACCATAAATAAGAATTTTTTAAAAATCAAATGTTTTGAAAATGGCACTATTTTTGAAATTAAATCAAAGGTACATGCACACATAGCTCTAGCTATAATACTATCTTTTTTGAATTTTTTTTCAATCCTCACTGCCTTCATCCATCTATGAACATTATACTTCTTCATACTCTAATCACAGGAACTCATTATTTCTAAACTTGAATATATCAACACCGGATTATATACAAAGCCAACTTAGTCTGGTTATTTGCAATAAATATGGCCCCCCCTAGATAACCCCCTAAGATGCTTGGGCCTAGTCTTCCACATGTGACCTTTAAAATATCCATCTTCCTAAATGTAGTGACACACACATACGCACTTGAGAATAATATAAAAAGACATTTATTGTACTGCCTCCTTCTACATTGCATTAAGACCTCTTGAAGCCACTTAACTTCCCTGAATCTGTGAGTATAATATTATCCATTCCTTCTTCCTTATATAGTCTTTGGAAAGAGCAAATTAATTTATAATTGAAAGCAATTGGAAGGTTTAAACGACTACATGAACTGTGTTACAATTACACAATATTCCTACAATCACAGATAGAATCGGAGTTTCTCCAGTGGTAAGGCTTGAGGAAGTGTCTGCTCCCACTTCTTCAAATACATTAGACAGCTGAGGCCCACCCAAAGAAAAAGGACTTGCTGTAGATTCCACAGCTAGTTTGTGGCAAGGGCCCTCCCACCTCTCTATTTTCCTTGCTGGCTTCTCGGCCTCTACTTAATGCCAATGTACTGAAGTGAGTACTTGAATCTGACCCAGGGTCTCTGTTCTATCTCTGCTCTCCAGGCGATTGTTTCCACTCCTACATCTTAAATAGGTCTCCAGCCCTCCCACCCCTGGGGCCACTCTCCTGACTCAGGACACTACCACAGCCCTTGGTGACTTTCCCACAGTAAAGTCTCCCAAAAGGCTGCTCATGTGTGTGCCCAGGATGGGATGGCTCATCCAGACACCCAACTCTCATTCTCTGGGAGGAAATCGGGTCCTCCCCACAAATATGGCTTCTCCTGAAGCATTTCCAAATAGTCTCTCTCTCCCTGCTCCGCTTAGCTCAGAGGTTGTGGTGTTCTCTGGGCTACCTTTTCCCATTCAGACCATTACCTGTTATCCTTCAAAATAAACATAAAAACCAAATCTGCCGAAACCGGTTTGGCTCAGTGGATTGAGCGTCGGCCTGAGGACTGAAAGGTCCCGGGTTCGATTCCGGTCAAGGGCATGTACCTGGGTTGCGGGCACATCCCCAGTGGGAGATGTGCAGGAGGCGGCTGATCGATGTTTCTCTCCCATCGATGTTTCTAACTCTCTATCTCTCTCTCCCTTCCTCTCTGTAAAAAATCAATAAAATATATTTTTAAAAAAAACAAACAAACAAACAAAAAAAAACCAAATCTACTTCCTTCCTTTGCTCAGCATTCCAACCTCTGAGTGCCTTCATTTTTTTCAATAACAAATGTCTTATTTTTCTACAACACATCCGAGCATCCCAGGAGAAGGTAAGCTCCAAAATTATACACTCCAGTAGGCCATTCTTCGACTTCAGCTCGTACATTCCTCATCCTCACCACCCTACCCCCCCCCCCCCCAGGCCCTGAATGACCCTATCATTTGGCCCCATTTGGCTCCTCCCTTCCTTTCCCCTATATGCCCCCCCCCCTTCCTATTCAGCCCAGACTCTGGTCTGTCACTCCACACGCTTTCCAGCCAGGACCCTCCATGCTGTCACACTCCGCCTTCTTTCCTTTCATTCAGACAATCCCCAATTGTGTCAATCCAATCACTTGTTGTCTTCACTCTGGTCAAAATCTCCCAACAGCACAGGTTGGTGCCAGTACGGTGTGGTGGTTTATGCCCCTGGTGGGATGTGCCTTAGCGATTCAGTTACTTGCTGCTGCAGAAGCCTCCCGTTTTCTGCTGAAAGCGATGCTCACATCACTACTCTGCTCAGTCCTTTATTCCACGCTTACTCCTTGCTCGAAATTTATCCCCTCGCCTTCCCTCCAGTTTTCCTCCTCAGACACAGATCAAATCCCTCTTCAAATCCCACCTGCTACTCACAAATGCTTTTGTGAAAAGCAAAGAAGAAAATGGTATAGAATGACATGAATACATTAAAATATTCATGCAGGGTTAGTCTTCAGAACAATTTTTAAAGTTTTAGGCACCCGACTGTGTAATCTAAAATAAAATCTAAAATAAAATCTGCATGTTCCCACTCTGGGGGTCTGCCAGGACCCCTGGACCTTTCTCAGCTTTATACTTTCTGGGGGCACACACGTTCCCTTGCGCCCCCTGGTCTTCTCCTGAACTCACTTGTGTATGAACTTGAAGAGAAGCTAAAGAGCAGCTACAACTGATTAATCACAAGCGACTAATTTCCAAAGGCCCCAGGGCTTGTGGGAGGGGTGGGGAAAAGGAGAAAAGGCAGGGGCCACGCTGTGGGTGCTCTCTCTTACCGCATGACAAAATTTGCTTCATCTATTTGACGGCCACAGCCACTCTTCTTCAGAATCCCACCATTTCCCACCACCGCACATTTCTTCAAGGGCAGCTGGAATGGGGTTGCCTAGCAACAGAAAACAAGGCGGGTTTTCACTGCAGAGAACACACAACTACTCACAAAATCATTGTTTACAGCAGACCCTTTGGAGGAATTTGACCGAGTTTGGGCAGAGCGAAGGGAACATGTAATAAAAAGAAAGATGCAAGAAGTTTGTTAAGGAACAAACTAGCCTGTTCCTTTAAAATTAAAAAAAAAATTTTTTTTAAACTCTCTGCAGTATATTTTCCTTTTTTTTGTTTTCCCCTGTATCAAATTGGCCATGCACATAGTAGCATCTGCTAAGGAAAAGGGGAAAATCCAAGCCACACACATATTTTTTAAAGGCAATATGCTGGGAACAAATGCAAATGAATGCAATTTCATTCATTCATACAATTGATCATAATCATTCAACACACGTTGCTAAGCATTTACTGTGCTAATTGTTGCGGACTGATACAAGGATACAGAAGTCATATGCCTCGGGATTCACAATTTTGGACGTGAGTGGAGTGTGACGTATATATTTATGCAGCAGACTCTAAGATAACGCTGAAATGGCTGTAGAAGAGAGAGGTAAGCTCCAAATATTGTGGAGAATCCTAGAGAAGGACAGAAGGCATTTCGGCCAAGTCGACTCAGGTAAAGGCTTCTCACTCCAGATGAATCTGAAGGGATGAGCGGCTTGGCCAGGCAGGGAATGCAGCATAAACAAAGGCACAAAAGTATGCTGAAAACCAGTGCTGTGTTTATGAGCAACTGAACACGCTGGGTGGGTCTGTTTAGAACTTAGGAGGCACTGAGGGGCAAGTGACTTGTAACTGAACCAGACAGCATGTGACTTTCTTTCTGCAAACATTGAACTGGACTGAAAAAAAAAAATTCTCACTGTACCTGAGTGTTCCCTGAAGTGCTATTAATAGTACCAGGGAATATCCAAACCCAGCAGTAGCCCCTGAAAGTGAAATGCGTCATTCGGTCTCTTTTAGCTAGATCAGCAAGAACCACCAGATACAGAATTTCCTGCTGGCTGAAACAATGCATAACGGTGGGAGTTCTTTACCTTACTATATATAACTGACACATAAAATAGCTACAGTGATATTAAGTAGGCCATCCTGGATAAACCTGAAGTAAATAATATGGGTTATACCAAAAGAATAAATGGAATAAAAATATCAATGTATCCTATAAGAGTCTTGCCTAGGCATAAAATAATCAAACAAGAAAAAAAATTAGAGACATCTTTGTGCTCATTGGTAGCTGAGATAGGCTCTGGACTCAGCACAAGAAGAAGTTTCCCTTCCTTGGCTTCTAGTATATAAATGGAACAATCAGAGCTATGGAGATACAGTTAATAAAGGTACAGTACCCAGCCCGGCCGGCACTGCTCAGTGGTTGAGCATTGACCTATGAACCAGGAGGTCACCGTTCGATTCCTGGTCAGGGCACATGCCCGGGTTATGGGCTCCATCCCTAGTGTGGGGCATGCAGAAGGCAGCCAATCAATGATTCTCTCTCATCACTGATGTTTCTGTCTTTCTCTCCCTCTACCTGTCTCTCTAAAACCAATAAAATATATTTTAAAAAGATACAATACTCAAAGGGTAAAGTCTAAGCATTTGCCCGCAGAACTAAGAATTCCCTCCATGACCACAACAGAGACCCGTCCAGGGGACTCCAGAGCAGGATACACAGAGGAGAAATGGGCAGAGGCTAGCACTCACACATCTGGGGTAATATGTGGCACTTTCTCAGTCACTCCTGAGAAGAGGGTTTGAAATCAACACTTGAAACACATTAATTAGATCTATAAATTGTTAAATATAGATTTATGTCTTTATGTTCAAGTTAGCTGTTCATTTAGTGCACAAGGATTTGCTAAGTGCCTGCTATTCCAGGAATTGTCCTGGGTGAGAGGAAAGTAAGTGTTAATCGCTGTTCCACTGGAGCTTATATTCCGGTAGGAAATGGATGATAAATAAAGATAAATGAGTAAAATGAACAGTATACCAGGTGGTGATATGGACTGTGGAGGGAAAGAAATAATTGGCATTAGAGGACCAGGAAATGCTTTTAAGAGGAACTGCAACTTAAACAAGTGGTCAGGGAAGAACTCAGAGGAGCCATGTAAGCAAATCCCTGAAGGAGATGAGGAGTGAGCCTTACCAATATGGATGGGGACCACTGGTGTAGACCTGGAGGAGGAAACATTCCCGGGCTTTGAAAGGACAGCCAAGAGCCCATTGTGTCTGGAAATGAGTAAGCAAGGGAGACAGAAGTAGGAGAGGAGATCAGAGAGTTAACTGGTGGGGAGGTTGGCAAACAAATTCTGTAGCGCCTTGTAGGGTATGGTAAAGACTTACAGTTTTATTCTAAGATGAGAATCAAGTCACTGAATGGTGAGTAAAGGAATGGCAATAGTCCATATTTTGGGACCATCACTTGCTGCTGTGTGAACAGGCTGTAGGATGTCATGGGCAGAAAGATACAGACCAGTTAGGAGTCTCGTGTAACAAGAGACTAAAGATTTTGGTGGTTTGGACTAGGGTGCAGGGGTAGTGAGAAGTAAGCAGATTCTGGAGATATTTGGGAAGAAGAGCTGATGCAGTGGAAATAGGGTAAGAAAAAAAGAGAGAAATCAAGAATCATGCCAAGGTTTTTGGCTTGAACAACTGTAAAGATGGACTTGCCATTTATTGAGATATGGAAGATTACGAGAGAGGCAGGTTTTAAGAGAATGATCTGGAGCTTAATTTTAAATATGTCAAGTGTGAGATGCCCATTATACATGTAAGTGGCAATGTCAAGTGAACAATTGGATATATCAGATTACAGTTAGAAAACCAGTCTTCTCTGGAGATAGAAAGTTGGGAGTGATCAGCATACAGTAGGTATTTAAAGTTAGGAGACTAGCTGGTGAATGAGTGTAGACAGAGAAGAGAAGAGGTCTAGGATCTGGATGGATGCTGGGGCACTCCTCAGGAGAATGAGGAGAGATCGGTAAAGGAGACTAAGAAAGAGTGGCCAATGGAATGGGAGAAATAACAGCAAAGTGTGGTGTCTTGAAAGCCTGGTTTAAATATATATACTAATAAAAGGGTAATATGCTAATTAGACCGGAGTTTTCCAGACATCCTTCCAGACAAAGCCATGGTGGCGGGGGCCGAGGCAGAGGCAGTTAGGGGTGATCAGGCCAGGCGGGGAGCAGTTAGGTGATAATAAGGCTGGCAGGGGAGCAGTTAGGGGGCAATCAGGCCAACAGGGTAGCAGTTAGGGGGTGATCAGGCCGGCAGGCAGAGGCAGTTAGGGGCAACAGGCAGGCAGCAGGCGAGCAGTTAGGAGCCAGCGGTCCTGGATTGTAGGGGGGATGACCGATTGCCGGGGATCAGGCCTAAACCGGCAGTTGGACATCCCCCGAGCGGTCCCAGATTGGAGAGGGTACAGGCCAGGCTGAGGGACCCCCTCCCCGCGCATGCATGAATTTCATGCACCAAGCCTCTAGTATATATATAAAGAAGGAAGCGGGGAAATTGCATCAAATGCTACTGACAGATTAAATAAGAAAACAGCTAAAAATTGCCACTGGATTTAGCAACATGGAGGTCAGTGGTAACCTTCCCAAGGACAGATTAGGTACAGTAGTGAGGACAGAAGACTGATCTGAGTTCAGTGAGTTATACATGTATATTTGCACATCTATTTGAATATACTATCATTTATTTGAAAAGTGGGTGTCACTCATTCTCAACTAATACTTAGTTTGCTTTGTAAAACCCAACTTAAAGCCCCCTCCTTGTTGTCAGAGAGCTTCCAGAACCAGACTGACTGGCAATCCCAAGTTTCCAGACAAGAATCTGGGCCCAGAACAAGATCTGGGAAGCAGCAGCAACAGCAGCAAAAACCTGTTTCCTGTTTCTAAAAGGAGATAAAATCGCACAGGATTTTATGACTATATGAGACTAGAGGCCTGGTGCACAAAATTCGTGCACTTGGCATTGGGGGGGGGTGCAGGGAGGGTCAGCTTGGCTGGGAGCCCTCAGGGAATGTCCGACTGCCTCGGAGGCAGGAGAGGCTCCCATCACTGCAGCTGCACTCAACAGCCGTAAGCCCAGCTTCTGGCTAAGCAGCACTTCCCCTGTGGGTGTGCACTAACCATCAGGGGGCAGCTCCTGCATTGAGCGTCTGCTCCCTGGTCGTCAGTGAGCGTCATAGTGACCGGTCATTCTGCTGTTCGGTCGATTTGCATATTAGCCTTTTATTATATAGGATGTTGGCATTGAGCCTTTTTTCCCTAAAAAAAAATCCTATATAGTCACCTGTAACTTCCAAAGCACTCTTGCTTTTTAGTCAGGAAATACACCAGTGGAAAATAAAAGATCACTAAAAGGAAAAAATTAATTAAGAAAACACTGTGGATTTATTTAAACTAATTGAGATAATATCATTATTCTATTTTAGAACACATCATATGTCAACTTGACAATGGTCAATGCTTACCAGAATAATGTATGAATAAGGTGTTCTCCTTTTGGGATATACCACATAGAAAGACCTTTTGATCACCCATTTCCACATGAATATTATGATTTTGGCAAGGAGTACTTTTATTAAAACACTCCATCCTTTCTTTTCAGATGTATTTCATGCATCCACGTAAGAAAATATCTATTGGATCTGAGAATATAGTACACTTTCCCTGCTAACCTTTGAAAATACTACTCTAAATGAAAGGCTGAATTAGGCAGATTGCCTATAGCAATGAGCTAAAAATATTGCTGAGCACTAATTCATCTTATGGATCTTTGTCCAAATGTTTTCATCTAAAACAATTTGTTCAATAAGTTCATTATTTAATCAGCAGACTTATGTTGAAAATGGCTAATCAATTTTCAGCAATGTGGCACTTCCTTAATGTCATAATGGATGTATAATTTAATTCCCAAACTTAAACAACAAATCTGAGTCTTACCACTACCTAAATCTGAGCTAATTAATAAATCCATTCAGACTCTCGCTTCTGA